GGCTTCCGGTTCTTCCGGTTTGAGGACCCGCCTCCCCACGGTAAGTGATGGACAGCGGGAGGCCGGAGCTTCGGGGAGACACCGCCCCCTTCAGGCTCTCCTTCCCGCTGCACCGGACTCTCATTCCAGCGTGGACCAGTAGCCGTGGAAAGGGAAGGAACGGTTGGAAAATCACACACGTGCACATCTTTTAGTTCTGTTTCAATTCTAGGAATATTTATTGAGTCTGTTGGAGGCCAAGTATAGAGCCCAGTGGTGCACAAGACAGACTCAGTCATTGTCCTCAGGAGCTTAACTTCTGGTGCGGGAGATAGCCATGAAAACAAGTAATTGCACAAAATTTAATGAGAAAGTGTGAGTTGTCTGGCACAGAGCACATGCTCAGAACATTTATTCTGCTAACATACGTTGTGTAGGGTTGCCAGACTTAACCAATAAAAATACAAAACATTCAGTTAACTGTGAATTTCAGGTAAACAACAAATAATTTTTTAGTTATGAATATTTCTGGCATTCACTTCCTGGCTTGGACAAATTACATTCTTATGCAATATTTGGGACATATTTATAACTAATAAATTATCCATTGTTAATTTGAAATTCACATTTAACTGAGAGTCCTGTTGTTTTATTTGGCAACCCGAACGTTGATCCATGAGGTTACAATCCTGACCTGAGGGAACTTGTATCTAGGAGGGGTATTTATACACGGGTTTAACAAATGCCTTGATTAGTACTAGAAGTAGATGTTACTACAGGAACATCACATATGAAATTCTGATCTAGACATCCAAACCGCAATTAGGAGGCAAAGACGGGGTGGGGCACCAAATATTCCAGAGGCGAGGGTATGTGTGCAGTCCTCGAGGTGGGGAATGTGATGCGCAGGTGCAGAAAGGCCTGTATGGTTGCAGCACAGAGTGCAGAAGTGGGTTTGAGAATGTCAACCTAAGTAGCAAAGAAGGAGGGCCTCTCTAAAAGAAAATGGTATTTATTCGGGCATGGCCATGGGAATACATGTGCCACAGTAAACTATATGCGTATTCAGGGAGGTAAAGGAAGACAAAGGTATATAAAAGAAAAAAATGAGGATTACATAATTGTTTTAAATCATTGTCCTTGGCTACAAAGATCAATAACAAGGGTGACACCAGTCCGAGGTTGGACGGGCAATTGCTGGGCAGATGTCCTTGCAGAGTATTTTTCGTTTGAGGTTGTGATGGCCTTTGTGCAAAGTGGTGTTTGCATTTGCAGAGGCCTTTGTGCGAGTTTGTGCTATTAGGAATGCAAGCTTGAGAATCCTCTCTTCATGGCCTTCCCTGGCTCTATTTGTCAGGGTCTTTTTTTTTTAAGATTGGTGACTCCATTTTGATTCTGACAACTTTCGCAAGAAGCTGAGGTTGGAAGGTAGGCAGTGGGCAGAGCACACAGGGCCTTGAGGGTTGGAACTTTGAGGGTACCTGAAGGCATTGAAAGGTTTTAAAGGATATAGTCAGGCCAGGCAAAGTGACTCATGCCTGTAATCCTAGCACTCTGGGAGGCCAAGGCAGGAGGATTGTTTCAGACCAGCCTGAGCAAAAGCATAACCCCCATCTCTACTAAAAATAGAAAAAATTAGCCAGGTGTCATGGCACGTGGATGCAGTCCTAGCTACTCGGGAGGCTGAGGCAAGAGGATCACTTGAGCACAGGAGTTTGAGCTATGATGATGCCACTGCACCCTAGCCCGGGTGACAGAGTGAAACCGTGTCCCAAAAAAAAAAAAAAAAAAAGGATACAGTCACATTTGGATTTTTGGAAGATCCTTTTGGCTGCTTGGTGGAGGATGGATTGGATTGTTGGATGTCAGCTAGACAGCAGTGGAAAGAGGCCAAAATGAAAGTTGTGGCAATAATCCGGATGAGATCATGGTGGCTCATGTCTGTGATCCAAGCACTTTGGGAGGCCAGGAGTTTAAGACCAGCCTGGGCAACATAGCAAGAGATCCTGTCTCTACAAAAAATTTAAAAATTAGCCAGGCTTGGTGGCCTGCGCCTAGTAAAGTAATCCCAGCTACTCAGGAGGCTGAGGCAGGTGGATGGCTTGAGCCCAGGAGTTTGAGGTTGCAGTGAGCTATGACAGTGCCACTGCACTCTAACCTGGGTGACAGAGTGAGACCTTGACTCGAAAAAAAAAAAAAATGCTTGTGGCAAGGGAGATGGTAAGAAAACACCGATTTGTTTTTTAGGAAGTAAAATCAATTTGATTTGGTAACTGAGGTATTGAGGCAAACAAAGGAATTAAATATGAGGTTCAGGTGAATTCTTGAGCACCTGGAAGGATGGAGGTGCTATCTGCGGGGAAGGAGAACCCTCGCACGCAGCATGGGGTGGTAAGAGGGAGGAGGATGAGTTCAGTTTGAGCCATGCAGCACTTTGGATGCCTTTAAGTCACAGAGCTGGACAGGTCTATGAGGAAGCTGGCTCTGGGCCTGGAGCTCCAGGGATCTGTCTGGTCTAGAACTGTCCATCTGGGTGCATTGAAACATGGATGGTAACCAAGACCAAGACAAGGGCAGAGCAGTGGGCGAATCACCCAGGGAGAGGGCATAGGGCAAATAGGAGCAGATCCCTGCAGGATTCCAATAGCTAAGAGAAGGGAACCAGGAGGAGCAGGCTGCCAAGGAAATGGAAAGGGATATGGCAGAGGGTAGGAAGAGAAACCATGACGGCATCGCAACAGAAAAGCCAACAGAAGCAACTGCTGTGGGAAGGAGGGATTGAGAGCACCTTTAAGGTGGAGCTGGACGAGGACTAACATAGCTGGTGGGTTAGTGGCGTGTCCTGTCTTATCTTGGTGACAAGAGCAGTCTTAGTGCTGGGGGGTGGGGTACAAAGGGCAGGATGGAGTAGTTTGAGGTGTCAAATTAATGAGAGAGGCCGGATGTGGTGGCTCATGCCTGAAATCCTAGAACTCTGGGAGGCCGAGGCAGGTGGACTGTTTGAGCTCAGGAGTTCGAGACCAGCTTGAGCAAGAGTGAGACCCCGTCTTTACTAAAAAAA